TGGTTAGCTTCACCGTCTATATCATCCCTTCCTTAGCCCACATGCTCACTTACCGATCTGCCTCCGCTCGTCAGGTATACGTTTTTTGCAATAAAGCTCAAACTAAACACTAGTGTTACAAATCAGCTTTAACAAAATGTTAGTAAAATCCAATGAACGGTCGGTGGAGAAATATAATACTACTATAGTGTATGATTGTGAATAGAGAGATTGAGAGTGGAGGGCATAAAGGTCATTTTAAAGATAGATGGGGTTCATAGTGTTCCGTATCTTACGGAAGATAGGATCATCACCCACATTCCTTACTGGCGTCCCCTCCAAATATTTATTGAGTTGGTTTCAGCTTTTTTTTTATATTATGGTTTTTAAAAAGTAGAAGTTCCCAGACTCATAATTTCTGGTTAGGTTAGAATTAGTAATTGACCAGGAAGAATTTTTGTTTTTTTCCTCTTTTACAAACTCGTGTATATTATATTAACAGTAGGGAAAAAAAAGGTTAGAAAAGGGATAATTTGGGAGGAAAATAAGGGAGAGGAATAGGTAAGAGTCATAATCATGAATGAAAAGGAGCTGTACAATAGGGACTCTCTGCCTAACATTAATCTAAAGTGAGAGTCTGAGTATGACAAATCACAATCATATCTCTCTCTCTCTCTCTCTCTCATGGGTCAACAAAGCTTTGGATTTTGTCCATTACTACACGACAATACCCACACACATACACACTCTCTCTCTCTTTCTTGAATGGTTCTTGATTTTTTTGTTTGTTTTTGGATTTTTCTTATAGAATGCGGCGGAGAAGCCACCGTTCTTCATGCCGAGCTGGACGGCGATGTACGTGCTGAATGCGTTCGTTGTGGTTTGGGTTCTAATTGTCGGATTCGGGTTCGGTGGATGGGCAAGTGTAACCAACTTTGTTCGCCAAGTGGACACTTTTGGTCTCTTTGCCAAGTGTTACCAATGTAAGCCAGCGAATCCAGCTGCAGCCGCCGCGCATGCTCCGGTCTCTGCTTTACACCACCGCCTTTGAGAGATCTAGCCAGAGTCTAATGCTTTTGTGGAGAGTTTATTTTAAAATTATTTGTTCTTCTTTGTGTTGTGTTCGTATACGTGAGGGAGTAAAAGTCACGAAAATAGTGTACTTCTACATCGTTCCCTTTGAATGCGTGGTAAGCTCTTAATATTTTTTTTTTCTTTCTTTTTTTGGGGTTTTGTATTTTTGTTATCACTCCTTAGGTCGATAATATAGTAGTGTGTGATTTCTTAATTTGGTATTGTTTAAACAATAGGCTAAACAAAAAAATGTATCGTCTTCTCTCTTCTTTTTTTTACTTGGCTTTAGTAACACATAAAACAATCCTTATGTTGTCTTTTCTTCCAAACAAAATGCTAAATTTAAAATGACTGACGAAAGAAATGCTAAGAAGGAACAATTAATTTTGTCAACTCTAAATTGAATTACAAAAACAACTAAAACTTGATTTTTTGACTTTTGTAAATGTTTACTTAATGGGAAATAAAGGCAAGTTGGACCGACGGAGCCGGTCATTCTTCTATATGGGGGCACATGGGTGTGGGGAGGGGTCGCACGTGGCTTATTCGTCTGAGTCACGTGCCATTATTTACTTCTCACTCTTTCTCTCTGATCAGACACTTGAAAGAATGGATCAGAGGACCGTTCTTGTCTCTCTTATTAAATATGGCATGTGTTCATAACATTACTCAATCGTTACCCCTTATCATATGCTCTGGTTTCACATGTACTTTGGACAAAAATAACTATATATATATGTGTGAATTATTAACTTATATTCTCGTTTGAATCCAGTGACGATTCCTGTACTTTCCATCTGACTTTTATTTTGTTTGTGACTTTTGTGTATTAAAAAAAGTAAAGAGCTTTGGGAAAATGTTTCTTCTATCAAATAATCGATTTTTTAGAAAGAAATAAAAAGATCTGAATGTTACAATGTGAATGTGAGTAATTTGTGTTTGCGATAAGGAGCGGGACCCGCGAGTAAGGGTGAAGTAAGTAACGCTGGTTAGTGATTGCCTGATCAAGTCAAATAGCCTTTAATTTGTTCTGATTTTGGCCAATGTGAGTTTTGATACAAATGGTTGGGTCTAATATTCTTTTGTTAGTGGAAGATGGACTATTTGGATACACGAAATCTTGCTACACATGATGTAGTTTAGTGGCTTGTATAAGTGTTGTATATTACTTACTATCCGAATTCAAATATGCATTATACATAATTGACAAATAACATTTGGTATTTGTGTTTTAAAAGTTACTTGATAGTATTTCTACAACACGATATGCAACAAAACGATAACATTGTCTCAAAAACTATTATTTCAATATTGTCTTTACATATATACTCTCTCTATTTTTTTAGAAAAAAGATTTTTTAGAATTTTTACACTTATTAAGAAAAAAATATGAATTGATATTTTTACCCTTTAATTTTTATTAATATAAAAAAATTAGAAAAAATAAAAAGAAGAATAGAGGTAAAATAATAAAAAAAAAATCTTTTTTTTAAAACATATTTTTTTCTACAATATCCTTCCTTTAGAAACAAAGGGCTTATAGATTTATTTATCCAATCATAATCATACTTGTATTATTAAACTAACTAATCATTTGGCTTGATAAGTTTTGTATATATATATATAATTTATAACTAGAACCAGACTTTAGATTATAACCAATTTTCAATTTACAAGATGCCTAACATGACCTATTGCATATGTGTTTTTGTCAATAGATCATGTCTATAATCCAAAGGCAATAAGAAAAAGAAAAATGCAAATCATACATTTAATTTTGTGAAACCCGAATATGTTGTGAAAAAGCAAAGATCTCCCACTAAAGCGTAAAATTGGAAATGGAATCTAGAGAACAAAGAAAACAAAGCTTTATACTATTTCTTTGAGCGCAATAATAATTGCTACTTAACAAAGATAATACAAATGACAATAGCTTAATTAAAAAAAATTTGTTAGAAAAGGCTTTTCTTATGAGAGATAAAATATTTATTTATTTATAAAGATGTACTTCGGTTTGAATTGTTAATGCTTATGAAGAAAAATTAAAATTGAACAAAATAAGTTCAAAAAATGTTGTATAAATAAATTTTAAAATTAAATCAAATAACATATGTGAATTTGAAATAATAATAATACCTTATATGTGAATTTGAAACATAATAATATTTTATATGTGAATTTGAAATAATAATAATACCTTATATGTGAATTTGAAACATAATAATATTTTATATGTGAATTTTTCAACGCATAGCGGAGTCATTGTCACTATTCATAATGTCCTTATCGTCTGAGATCTAGACAATGTTTCTATTCCAACAGGAGTTGCTACTACCATGAGTCACCATATCACAAGAGTTTTCGTCCAAAGTGGCTATATAGGTCAAGTTATTATTGTAGCAGTGACACCAAATTTTGGCTCACTTTCTCATGACAATATGCAAATGATGAGGTTGAGCGGTTTATAAATTGTTTTCAGCAGTAGTGCCCAACAGTCTGCTTCTGATACTATAGTTACAAGAATTCTCCGATGAGCTTAAGTTGGTGTTCCTTCGACCGTGATGCTTATTAGTGACGATGATTTCTGTGACATGATGCTTTTGGAAATGGCTTCAAGTGGTTACAACGTCCTATTGTGGTTTGGGAAGAATTAGGAAAACGATCTTAATTAATGTTTGTCAGTCTATCCGCAAATTCTAAATGATTATGCCATATAATTTCAATTGTTTTTAAAGACCAACATAACATATTCAAGCCCAGCTCAGCCCTTTTGCCTTTTATCTTACCTATATTTTCAGATTTGCTCATTAGTTTTTTCAATTTTCAATTTTGTTATCTACCTACTAATTTTCACTTAATTGTCTTTATTTAATTTAAAATAAAATACCGAGAATAGAAAATACGCACAAGTTAGTTAACACAACATTTGCGGCTACAAGCAACACAAACCACTATTAAAAATTTCAAAAGCCATCTATGTCTTGTCCACAGTACCTCCTCTAAATGATCCTCTTCTTCAGTCTTGCTCTTCTTGAAGTTTTCCTTCAATGTTTTAGCATCAACCAAAGTCAGTAAATCCAAAATGATGCTACCTACTTCGGGTCTAGTTGAACACAATTGTAAATTCAAAAAATTAGGAAAGGCACAAACGCCTTGATAGCAGAGAGATGCTTACAGAATATGCATGCTCTTTACTTTTGAGATGCATGGTGAAATCCTCAAAGCTTTGGCCAGCAAAATCGCATACTGAGCAAGACCAGGGAGATTCACCCGTTTCCTGAAGAACAAGTCTTGTTATCCTATCCGCAAACCCTGAATCCATTTCACCTATGAATCCTATGAATGATACAAGGAAGAGAGCTCTACGATTCGAAACTCAAACAAGAAAGGGGCGAGCTTTTGACTAACGAGTCATCAAAAGAAGCACCTGAAGATTTGACATTATGTTTGAAGCGCTGGAAAGATCAAACTGCATTAACAGAATATTATTTGATCTATAAGTCTTTCGAGAGGTCTTGATTCTTTGAAGCCTTCTGTAAAGGAGCTGGGGTAAATAAAGTTGCACAGACTGCAAGGTTTGCTCCTGCCTCCTGACCTTAGAACCAAGAAACCAGATTTCTGCCCTATGAAACACTTTGCTTCTGCCTCCTGGCCTTAGAAGGGTTTGTTTCTTCAATTTACGCTTCGAAACTGGAATGGTGATCTTATAGTTCACTTAACTATAAGATCACCATGCTTATGTTGATGTGATGCAAAGAGCGCACAAGTCAGCAAATCTGGACAATAGGTCAGATTCATTCTCTATCTACCTCTTACACAAGTTTTGAGGACACTCTTTACTGCTCTGATACCATATCAGAAACACAAGAATATAGAAAGGTTTTCTGTGTGTTGTGGAGCCAAGCGGCTGGAGTATATATACACTATGAGTTTCACAGTTGCCATGTCTCCGTTCTCACTTGGACCTGCATCACCAGCTTCCACTATGAGTTTCACCAACATACCAGCCTTTTGATATTTCTCAATACAAATTGAAGATAGTCTTTATTTATGTTCAGTATCCGGAATACATAGAAGCAAATACAACATTCTTTTTCCCCCCACGGCGTTAGGATGAAGAATGAAAAAGGAAGTGATTCGGGTCATCCAGTAAAATGCTCTTGCCCTTGCTCTTGAGATGGTATCTGAGGTAGACGAGGCTTAGGGAACAAGAGCTTCAGCCGGAAAGCATCCATCCCATTCAAGTAATAGTGGTGCAGCCGCTTGGCTCTTATGAACCCGAGTCTCCCATATAGAGCCAACGCTCCTTTGTTACTCACTTCCGCCTCCAACGTTACCTTCAAATCATTAACATTTTTTGACTAATGAGACTTGACTATGAGCAAATGCCACTCAAGAGCTACTTTTTGCAATGTGGACTTACCACTCAAATCACAGTTGTGAGATCACAGAACAACAGAGATTACGATTTCAGTTATACACCATGGACTACATCCAAGACTAATAGCATATGTATACAAGGTGAGAGAGAGAACAACAGAGACTTCTCATCCCTGAAATTATGTTCTAGGAACACTATAAGGAGCCATGGACTACATACAGGACTAAGAGCTTATGTATACTAAGTGAGAGACTGGGGTTTGAATGCAATAGGAACACTAAAAGTAGCTAATATCACATTCACCTCTGAAAGTTGATCTTCTAGTGTGATAAAAAGGCAAAGTCTAAGTTTGTGGACCTGCAATGGGATTATAACATTCTCAGAGAAAGATCTTTATCTACAATTCTACTACCGGGTAAGGATATCAATCAATCTAGCACCATCATATTGTATCTAACTTCTCATGAGAGCAAAACAGGGAGAGAGAGAGAGACGTGAAGATAATAAGAGAAGCATACCTCTTCACAGCCTGATTCCATCATCACTTTTATTGATCTTGTGACAAGCTCCGTGGCTATAGAGCACAATGGAGAGTTAGTCAATCAACATCACTAGTCCCACAAATCAAACCAGGCAAGACAAACAAGTAGGTCGAAATATTTACCTAAGCCACGGCCACGAAATGGTTTGATCACGACCAACATAGCAATGTACCCTCTATAAGTATGTCGATGCTCACCCATCTTACAGACTACGGTTCCTACGCATCTACCTTTGTGAAACGCCTTTTCGAAAAGGAAAACGAAAAGCTACTCAATCATAATCTACTTTAAAAAACACGAAATTGTTATGAGATGAGAATCGAAAGCGGGAGGATCAACAATATACCAGGAAGCAGAGCTGTGGCCAGAGGTAGACGAAGTAACGGTAAGTGAAGATGGAGTAAGGTTCACTGAGTTCTTGATCCACGAGAGACATAATCAATGGCAGGTGATGCTCTCCGGCGTAACTCGTGTACTCAATCTCCGCCTCGTCGAATTCCTCTTTGTCTTCCATGCTTTTCTCCATCGAAAGATATATGCAGAACAAGTGGGTTCAGATGCTGAAATGTACAGAGAAAAAAGATAAATTTCTCATCGTATTACTCTTACTGCAAAGTTATAAAAGAGGAAGATAAAAGCGGAAATATCTCGGGAAACTAAATTCAATCTCTGGGAATCGATTTCAGATTGAGCTGATTGTTTTAAGATCGAAAAGTCGGGTGTTTTCATGGAAAACTTAAAAGCTATTAGAGAGAACGCTGTGCGAGCCTAAAAGAGAACGACACACATATAGATCAATCACCAAGTAGTGACTAGTGAGTACACAAGAAAGAGATGCGATTATCAAAATCGAAACTTTCAGGATCCAAGATCAATGGGATGACAATTACTTACCAATAGTCTCAGCTCGATTAAATTCGAAGATTGGGTGATGTCTGAAGAAGCTACACAGAGAAGAAGAAGAAGATGATGAATGAGGTCGATTACACGTGCGAAGTATGTAGGGTTTTAGGATGGATTTGGGCTTAAATTAAGCCCAATTTTAAATTTTAAAAATTGCCCAAATAGGGAAAAATTTATCTCCAACAACAACATTATAGAGCCCTTAGAGCCAATATAGGGAAAAAAATTATTATCTTAAATTAAGCCCAATAACGAAGTAAGTTAATCAAACAGCCAATGTAAAAGCAGACCATGGACCGTGGCGTGTGTCCTCTATTTCTCTCTTAACTATTTAAACTAATGCTAATATAAATTTTATATATACTAACCAAAAACTTTTCAAAATTTTAATGTGAAACTTTGTTAGCTTCCACAAAGAATTATAGCCAATGAAAACATTTTATTTGTATAAATTACAACACATTCTTTATTCACATATACATAAATTGATAAAACTTAACAAATCTTTATTAATTTTGTTCCAACATTTATAACTAGAGCCGGCCTTTCGATTTTAACCTATTTTCAATTTACAAAATGCCTAACATGAATTATTGACAAAATTCAAAAACACATATTCAAAAAAGTCTATGGTTCAAAACATATTTTTTACAATTAAAAAAACTGCAAAATATTTATTTTAATTTTGTGAAATCTGAATATGTTGTGAAAAAGAGTTCGAAAATCTCCTACTGAATTATAAGAATTTAGAACGAAAATAAACTTAAAATCTCCTACTAAATCATAAGAATCTAGAAAGAAAATAAACTTTGTTATATTTCTTTGAGTATAATAGTAATTGCTACTTAACAAAGATAATACAAATGAGAGCAACTTAATTAAGAATTGTTTATTATGAAAGGTTTTTTTTATGAGAGATGAAACATTTATAATTTGTAAAGATGTTTTTCAGATTGGATTGTTAATACTTATGAAGAAATAATAATAATAAATTCGAACAAAATTAGTTCAAAAAATATTGTATAAATGAATTTTGAAGTGAAATCAAACATTTGTAAATTTGAATCAACAACATCATTAACCTTTATAGTTATTTCACAAGAATCTTTTTGCTTGAAAACCGCTCATTTTGATTTGATTAGGCTTAGACCTTTCCCAAGTGAAGAATCAAAAGTATTATGCTATGATATCTGGTTTTTGTTCTTGTCCGATCCGAAATGGCTGCTACTGTTGGCTCCCGTATTCATATGGAAAACATCCAGTTGAATCCTCCACCACTGATTGCTAATACTCTAATTGAAGCATTATGATGTTACTATTTTTGAGTTAGCTTCACAAGGCCACAACATCCAGTTTTTTTTATTACTTTCATGTAATAAAAGATCATTTGGTAGAATTAGTATGTTTTAGATCTTGCCAGTGATATGTTTATAATATGTAAAACCCTTATCTATGTTGCAGTTCCTTTGCTTATGATTTTTTTCTACATGATGCTTGTTTAGAGAATATGTATGCTCTTACCAATATAAATACCACCATTTATAAATATTGATCATCACAAATTATAAACTTCATCCAAACATATTAATTTGATGAAATCAAAGATAACAAACGATTTCACTTAATTAAAATATAGACGCAGGTTTAGTTTTTGATTGTTTATTTTAGTTAATTTAAAATTGAAAAACGAGACTAGAGAATAAACAGATCATTATTAACAATATCTTCTACGTCTTGTTCACAGCCCCTCCTCTAGATGATTCTCTTCTTCAGTCTTGCTCTTCTTGAAGTTTTCCTTCAATGTTTTAACATCAACCAAAGTCAGTAAATCCAAAATGATGCTATCTTCTTCACATATAAATGGGTAAAATTTATTTAAATTTGAAAGAGAAACTTGTGACAATGGCAATGAGGTAACTTGTGAAAGGGGTTTACTAGTGTAAATATTCCCGTTTGAGATATTAAAGCTTGCCTTTATGGTATATCAAGGTTGCAATTGGGTGATGTTTACACATAGAAGAAGAAGAAGGTGATGAATGAGGTCGATTACACGTGCGAAGCATGGAGAGTTTTAGGATGGATTTGGGCTTAAGTTAAGCCCAAATAAAAATTGCCCAAATAGGGAAAAAATTATCTCCAACAACAACATTAGATAACGAAAAGCCTATCCTTTAAGCATTTCCAACTTCCGCGAGACCTTATCTTCCTCAAACAGACGAATAAAGCTGCAAACACGGCGATGGCGTCGCTTCTACTCGGAGCTCCTCCGCGAGTCACCGTCGCATTACCTCTATCTTCACCTTCTTCGCGGCTATCATCGTCCCAATCCGAAACTGCTGGTGTTTCTCTATCTTGCTTCACTCAGCAGCTGTCTCTCTCCGCTTCGTCTTCTTCCAGCTCAATTCCACTCGGTAATCTCATTTCTTTCACTCCCAAACTCTGTCTTATATCTCTCTCTCTCTCTCTCTCTCTTAGCTCGTTAATCGCGTGAAAATTTTACCGATGACCAGTGTACTGTGGCCGAGGCGACCGCAAAACAGCAAAAGGAAAGCGTTTCAATCACTCATTCGGGAATGTAAGTATGGATTTCTAATATTCCTTTTCGTTTTTGATTCCCACAATTACATTACCATATTCCAATTTTGGATTGAAACTGGGAAATGTGAGCAGGCGAGGCCACGAAACAAGAATAAGGGAAGAGGGCCGCAGAGAGTACCGGTCCCTCCTGCACCTCCGAGGAAAGATAAGTTTGAGAACGACGAGAAGATCAAAATCGACATCGACGAGTCTCTCTTCTCCAATTAGAACAAAAAAAAGACTTCTTTCACCTGTAATTCTATTTGATTAGAAGCTTCTCTGATGCTGCGACTCTCTGTTCTTGTTGTTGTTAAACATCTCCAATTTCTCCTCTTTCTATGAAAATCTGCTTTCTTCTGTTTTTTGCTTGCTCTTTCGTTTCTTATGCGTCATTGATAATGTTGCAGTAATATATGATCTGATGAATCGATTTTTGTGTGTGATTGAGTCTATAGACCCGAGTTGTTTAGCGGGAACTAGTTGAGTTTATATAAGAAAAAGCTAAAGCAAGTATAAACACTGAAAGACTACGAGAAACAATTTACACACGAGAGAATATATACTTTGTTAGATATGAAATAATCTTTGTCTCTGTTTGGATGTTAAAAGTGTGAGAATTTGAGATGTTTGCAGTAGGTGGAGATGAGTTTGTGCAGAACGCTTCCTTGTGAAGATGTATCATGTTACTCCCATTGCTCAAGTCGTGTACCTTCTTCTCTACCCATTTTGCTTCTCTTGTGGTTACAGGTTTCTTGAATAGCCTTTGAGATCTTGACCCAATTCACTGGATAGAAAGCATATGGCGGGAAGATCGTGAGATTGTACTCAGGTTTGTGTCCTAACCTCTGGATAACTCTAGAGACCGGGGAAGGACAGTTGCAAGAACTCGCGCATAAGCGGATGGTATAGGTCAAAGACCATCACTGCGTTGTTTAGTCTTGTCCATTTCTTGGTCTCTGGACAACCTTAAACAAGATTGTGAAATTTGGGGCCAAGTTGAGTGGGTTGATCATGTACTTACGCTCTCTTCATTTGAAATCTCATCATTCGAAAATAGTGAAGGTTCTTGGTGCCACTGTTTGATGAATGCGTCACAAGGCTTGAACCGTGTGTGTTAACTTGCTAATATCATTTGTGTTATTTGGGATACTAAAATGATTTCATTCAAGTACAAAAATCTCCAAATAACCTTTTGCATTCATGTAGATAATGTCCTGGTTAAATATTGACTATATTCATATTTACATGGTTTTAATTTTCTCTGTTGGAAACTGTAAACTGGTTAGTGTGGGCATTAGCTTTACGATGCAAATCGCAAGATTTGTCTATCTTCCCTCTATCTCTAATTTACCATTAGGGGCTAAAACCAACTATCCCTTGATCCAATATTGTAACGGCCCATAAAGCCCAACAACCGACTTCTTCTTTTCAAGAGTTTAACACAGCCGCTTGAAACCTACATAAAACTTATGATTTAGACCATCTCTAATGTGTTCCTTTATTTTTTCCTCTAAAATAGAGAAATTCTAAAATGAAGGTGTACTTCTCTTCAATGTATTCTTCTATTTTTTCCTCTAAAAAAGAATATTTTAAGAATATTTTCTTTATAATTTATTATTAATATCTTCTTTCTATAAAATTCACAAATTAATCTCATTTATATTATTGTTTACAAAAATTTCCATCAATAATAAAAATATATTAAAACTAAACATTTATTTCATAAACAAAATTCAAAATGACTATAGTATTTGTAATTTTCTATAATTTTCAAAACATTTATTAAATCACTATAGTATTTATCATTTTCTACAATTTCTGTATTTTTAAAAAATTATTACAATTTATCATTTTATTTATAATTTAGTTTGAAATAAATGAGAATTTTCCAATTTAGTTATATTATATGTTCACAAATTTTTTTCAAACCATAACAAAATTATTAAATTTATTTATTTATTAGGTTTTTGTATTTAATAACATACAAAACTGTATAATGTAATTTTATTGACGTATTATTGTACATGTGTATATTATATTGCTATTCATGTTTATTTTTTTATCGTGGATTAATCACTTTTATTTATAAATTATATAGTTAATTAAAGTAAATAATGTTTTCTGTTTTTCTATAATAGTTATTGTCTGAAATGATGTTGATTTTATTAAATTTTATTAAAGTTATTTAATATTTTATAATTTAATTAAATTTATATGTTATATATATGGCTATTTATTGGATATATACAAACTAGATTATGCAAATATTTAATTTAATTTTTTATATGTTATATAAATAAAAATAAAAAAGATGTAAAAGTTAAAGGACCAGTTTATAAATAAAAAAGTGTATCTCTATTATAGAGGAACAAATAGAGTTCTTTCAATTATAAATGAAAAAATAGCAACCTCTATTTTAGAGAAAATAGAGGTAAAAATAGAGGCGAATTGGAGAGAATTTTTCTATAAACTTTATTTTTTCCAGAGTTAGATTGGAGATGCTCTTACCAGCGAATTTGCCTCGTTAGTTTCGTCAATGTCGCCGCCGGCAAAGAAGAGGAAGCCGACGCCAAAGCCGCAATCGACGCCTGTGATTCCGTCACTTCCCTCTGATTTGCTATTGAGCTGCATCGCACGCGTCTCGAGGTTGTACTATCCGACTCTCTCCCTCGTCTCCAAGAGCCTTCGATCTCTCATTGCTTCACCGGAGCTTTACAAGGCCCGATCACTCTTGGGCCACACCGAGAGCTGTCTCTATGTGTACATTAGCAGCCACTCTCATTCTCGCTGGTACACCCTCTGCCGGAAACCCGATGAAATCATCCTAAACGACGACACCACTATGAAGAAGACGAACGAGCAGAACGGGTCAAGTGGGTATGCTTTGGTCACAGTCCACAGTTCCAATTCTCCTCAAGCGGGTCTTCCGGGTCTCGTGGTGGTTGGTTCCGATATCTACTCCATCGCCTCACGCGCAACATCCTTACCCTCGCCGTACCCAAACCCCGTCTCGATATTCGACTGCCGGTCTCACTAATGGCGCCCCGGTCCAAGCTTACCGGTGACGCTAGACTCGGTTTCTGCTACCGTCGTCGATCAAAAGATATATCTTGCGGGATGCTTCAAAGACGGCGGTTCTGATTCCCTTGAGAACTTGGTCGAGGTGTTGGACACGGAAACACAGAGATGGGGTCCTGTGCCCATCCCTTGCAGCTTGGCAAATGGCTGCATTTGGGAGCCAGCCACATGTATTGACGGAAAGTTGCATGTGGTACACTCGTTGCCGGGTACTTGGGAGAAAAAAGTGGTTGCTTACGATTCCAAGGAAGGTAGATGGGACATGGTCGCGGGACTCGCACCGGAGACGGCGGCTTTGATGTCTATGGGTTGTGAGATAGAGAATGTTCTGTACGCTGTTATTTTCCGAGAGATGTGTTGGTATGACACTGAGGTAAGCACGTGGAGGAAGTTGAAGGGTTTGGTCGGACTACCTAAGTTTCCTTGTGATGTAACAGGGATTAGATTGGCTGATTATGGTGGAAAGATGGCTGTATTTTGGGACGAGGGCTTCGGTTTTTCCTTCTTAGACAAGAGGATTTGGTGTGCGGAGATTTCGCTTGAGAAGCGCCCAAATTGTGAAATTTGGGGCAAAGTTGAGTGGGTTGATCATGTGCTTACACTACCCCCTTCATATGAGTTTCGTATGAATGTTGTTGCTGCCACTCTTTGATGAATGCGCCTCACAAGGCTTGACCGTGTTAACAAGAGAGAGCTAACATCTCTCTTGGGCCTGTTGAGGAAAGCCAAACCATAAAGAACTGAGCTGAGCAATTTCCTGTTGTACTCTTGCTCGTCGAGTTCAGTATCTCAAGCTCAGGTAGCTTTCTTCTCAACCGGTCAATTCTCTGCCCCTTGCTAGCTTTTGGAGGAGATACCAACGGAACTAACTCGTCTTTTTCTTTTTGATCTGAGGCCACAACCGAGAGACTGCTACTACTACTACTACTCATGGGGCCATTTGTTTTAGGACACCTAGAAACAGGAGTAGGAGTTGGAGTTGCCTTAGGTTACAAGTAAGTTTATTTGGCGGAACTGAGATCCTAGCCAATCCGTTGATACCACATGTAAATAGTCGTTTGGGATTTCGGGAAATTTTAAGTAACTCCAATGTCTAAAATTCGAAAACCCTTAATCCAATTACCTGATATATATATTAGAGAGAGAGGAAACTAAAGGATGGATGTTTCATTTTTCTTCATATTCATTTGTATAAAATTCATTTTTTTCCAAACACTTGTAATGGTTGTTAAACTAATCTGTTTCTAACCTTCATCTACCACAAAACATACGAACGTGTGGCGCAACTCGCAAGGCAGCTTGAGTGTAAAATATCAAACATCGCTGTAGAAGAAATGATCGTCTTCCGTATTTGACTGTGAAGTGAAAACTGTTTACAAATTTAGGGTTTGGAGACAATCTTCTCTTGCCTGCATTACAAACAACAAATGACGAAAGAAGAACACAAACCTAGAAAAATCAAAATTAGAGTTAAACATCTAAACAAAAATTTGCTTTCTCGTCATCTTTGAATTCCTCTGCAAACAACACAGTGGTCTGAAATCATGATATCTATGACACTGCCCTTTTCGATCTTAAGCTTGCTAGTGATCTTGTTCCACAGATGCATCCCATAGCTTCCTCTGTTCAGCTTGACCAGATCGGCTTTGAGTAACGCCGAGTCATTGCTGCTCCTCGGCGTCTGAAACAGTCTTTGAATGTCTATCCAATTGAATGGGTAAAACGCTACTGGTGGCAACACTGTGAAGCTGTTCCCAATCGTCTCTTGTGCTCTCTTCACCACTCTGGTCACCAAGTACGGCCCATTGTGTCCCCATTTGTTCCCATCAAAAGTCGAAGCAAACTCCTCTATGAAATGGTAAAGAAGCGGGTGATCTTTCTCGAAGATGAGAACCGCATTGTTCAGCCTAGTCCAGTTCTTTGAATCTCCTTCCACTGTTGTTTGCGCTCCGATCGAGTTCTTCAACCCTTTAAAGCTTCTAGTGACGATGAAGTCTGTATCAACGTAAACACCTCCGTACTTGTAAAGAATCGCTAGCCTCGCTAGGTTTGAGAGATTCTGAGACAACGGTATCCTTCCCGGATCTCTTTTGCAGCTTTTCATTTCTTGAAACCAAGCTTTGGCCGGTGTGTTCTCAAGAAGCAGTGAAACGTCTGGTGTGGCTGTGAAAGCCTTGTAACCGCGATCAAGAAGCGGTTTTAAGATGGTGTCTCCTTGTGGAGAATCCATGGATCCTGATACGATCATCAAGCATCCTTGAGGATGAGATTTGAAGACGCTTTCCACAGCTAGGAGCTCTCTCTTCCCGAAAAGCTCTGCTGGTGAAAACCATGTCATGAAGAATCTAACCTCACATTTGTCGTCGAGAGAGTTAAGAACCCTGTGATGAAACTGCTGTGAGATGTTGGTTGACTTGAAGACCTCGAATTCTGGTAGGTGCGACCGAAGCCAAGCGATCCGGTCTCTGCTTGTACTGTTCTTTGGAGGAGCCAATGACTTTCTTTCGATTATGTTCGTTTGTATTACCTCAGAGGTCGGTGAAGACCAGAAGAAAGTTGATTCTAGAGACATGTTTGAGAGAATTGTTCCCGCGACAATGAGCAGCATTATGACCGCGAAAATGGTGGTAGAGAAAACAGGGGAATTTGTGAGCTTGATTTGGCGGAAATCAAGCGTTTCCGAGAGACTCTTCTTATTACTATTGTCCTTCTCCATTGTCTCTGAATGTCTTGAACAGAGAGAGAGAGAGAGGGAAAGTAAAAAATTTCACAAAGATGAAAATGTGTTTTGGTGAGAGGATGTTTTCTAAAAAAATATACAAATGTTTAAAAAATGATGGATTTATCTTTTCTCCATTTATAGTATAGTAATTCAAGGTTCTTCATGATTTGTTTGGTTTCAAACAAAACTGGTATAAGCTATACAAATATGTACTAAATATTGTTAGGTCAATTTTACGTGGGAGTTTGGTTGTCATACAGATAACATATGATTAGACTTGTGGAATATGCAGAAGATGTGCCTACCACTAACCTGTACGATCACTATATTTTTTCTTTTGTTATTGTGGAAGAGTTTTAATTAGGGCTAGAAAAAAATCAAACCGAAAATGAAAGCATCTTAAACTTTTATATGCCTTTATAATGTTACAATGATTAGACATTAATAAAATTATTATCAACGCTACTACATGTCCCATACATAAATAATACGTATATAGTATATATCTAATTTTAAGCTAGTAGACAATGAGAGCGTCAATAATAGTATCTGTATTTTATTAATTTCCTTGATGCTTAAAGTAGATTTATGGGGAATGGCTATTGGGATTTTTTAAAATTTGTTTACTTAACCATGCGTTGAGTCAAGTGATGATGATTTGGTATAGATGAAGATGCAAAGCAGCAGAAGACCAAGGGTCTATTAAATCATTATGATAGAAACGGAGAAGATTGATCACGTGATTAGAGTGTAAACCTTAACTCTCTAAGTCTCCGTTGAGGGCATTTACTAAATTGATTTTTCCTAATATTTTGCAGGAAGAGTGATTGTATCATCACTAGAGTTTTGGCAGAACCATATCCATGTTTATTATGTGGTTTGTGATTTCTCTTACAATTACAGGATATGAAGCTCATCCTACTAAAGAATGGACACGAGACTAACTCCATTTTAAGGTTTGTTCTTTAAAGGATATGGCCCATGTTATATATGTTTATTTTGATGCTGCTGATTGTGTTTCAAATTAGTGTGCAAAATGAACTTCTGTTTTCTGACGTTTCATTTGCATTTTTACTTATGCTTAGTTCCTACCGATATCTCTAACAATCAATCTCAAAACTTGGACTCACTAAACTTATTGCCACTGCTATAGATTATTGCATAATCTGGATTACTTGATAGAATTGCATCTTAAATTCATCTTCATTTCACACAACATGGTTCCAACCCAAATCTTTGAAAACATCACATGTTTAGCTCATCTATTGAATATATATATATATATATTTATATTTACATTTCATTATATGTTCTTCTAATATTTTACAAACTGTACAAAGGAAGACAAATGACAAATCAATTTTGATTAAAGCGAAAGTAACCATCTACTATATAACTTTTTTTTTGTTATCTTTGAACTATTTTAGAACATCGTCTGATTACACCCTCCATATGTTGAGTAGCTCTGGTGTTGCTGTCATCGTGGTTCCCGTTGAAGAAGGCCAGGTTCATGCCACTGCGGATAACATCGTTGAGAGAATCCACCACTTGGCCGAATCCCCGATTCCGGTCAATGCGATGGTTATCGGCGGCAACCACGCTTTCTTTGGGCCTTGTTGGGATCTTTGCCTTAGCGGTCACTTTGTACGTCAGTACTAGAGAGAAGGGACTGGGTATGCCAATAACTTGCTCCACGGTTCTCCTCCAGGTTCTCCTCCAGATGATTGACTCTATCCCGGTGGACCGACTTCAACATATCTGTGACTGCCTCCGTGAAGACTTCTGCTTCTTTTTATTTTGAAAAAAAAAACTCTCCGTGATTCCTAATTCTGCTTATGTTTATTGTGAAAATTCTGGTCATTTCTTTAGATTGAACTCGCTCTTGTACCACGGTTCACATATTTGGTCGTAGCTGTTGAGTCCCTCTCATGATCATCTCTAACTTTGTTTTGCTCAATCCATTCGAAACTTTATTACCTTAAATCAAATCTGATCATCTCTAACTTTGTTTTGCTCAATCCAATCAAAACTTTGTTACCTTAACTTTTTTCTTGTTTCTTTTTGTTAATTTCTTGTCTACTTAGCATATAGAATTAATTTTGAGGAAACATAAGAAAATTTATGAGAAATTAATATGAAATTTGTTATTTATAATATGCAACAGGAATAAGATGTTTCCTTCTTCGAGATTTCACATTATTGATCATCGCAAATTATTAACAAAGATAACAAATGATTAACACAACATTTGTTTCTACTGAAGATTAGTGTTTATTTCAGTATAAAAATGTTAGCTTTGTTGTGTTAACACACAAGATAACATGTAACAAATGTCTTTATTTCATTTAAAATTAAACATAAGTAGTGTTATATTAAGTTAACACAACATTTGCCGCTAGAAGCAAAACACAACCATTCATTATTAACCATATGTCTTCTACGTCTTGTTCACAGTCCCTCCTCTCGATGATCCTCTTCTTCAGTTTTGCTCTTCTTTAAGTTCTCCTTGAATGTTTTACCATAAACCAAAGTCAGTAAATCCAAAATGATACTTCACATCTGGGGTCGAGACAGCGACATACGTCTTGGCACAATATTGAGTGAGAAACATGCTTACAAAATTTGAATGTTCTTTACTCTTGAGATGCGTTGTGAAATCTTCAAAGCTTTGGCCAGCAAAAACGCAGACTACCCCAGCCCAAAACATACTCGTAAATTATACTATAAACAAAATTTTCAACTTAATAAATTTAAATTATATTTAATATTAAAATACTCAAGAAAGGAAAACAGTCTAGTATATTTCTAGAAATTAATTAAATGTTAGAGTTTAAACGTTATAAATTTATAAAGGATTTATGATCAATGTTTATCAATGCAGTTAACAAACAAAAAATAATAAATGGTTAAAATGGCATTCTTCTTTGTGATAAGAATAGGTAGTTTCCATAATAAAAGCGTTGTTGCAGCAAAGTTAACAGAGATTTTATTAACTGGAAAGCTGAGAGTATATATAATGGTATCAAGAGGATGGCGATGGCTAGTTGTTTTTGTCCGTAGAGTTTGTTGGAGCATTGTTTATTACCCGCAGATTCCCCGAAATACTACGCCTTATGTTCTGCAAAAACAATCAAATTCATTTTTCTAACAAGTTAAAGAAACGATTTGCAAGTTACAAGTACAAGACTAAAGGAACCAGAAACTATACCATGTGCCTCAATGCCATGTCGAGAGACGACCTAGAGAGATTTCTCCCGAAGCCTGAGCTCATGCTATCGTCTTGCTTCGGAGGTGGCAGTTTCCTCATGTTCACAACTCTTTCCACCATCTGAGTCCCCAGCAAAACAGGATTCACATCATTGCTAATCTTGGACCGTCCCGTTGCTCTCCCTCTTGAAGTCGAGACAGGTCTAGCCGGTAGTTCACGGATTGTTAAAGATGTAGACTTTGCACTAGGAACAGACTTTCCCACCGAGGATGAACGGGTAAAGGAAGATGCTCGTGGATTGGATTTGATTGAAGAGGTTCTAGTCTCTGGAATCGGATTCCGAGCAGAGTTGGTTTGCTTTGTGGAAGATAATGTGGCTCGTGAAGTTGGTGTGGCCTGTCTTGAAGGTTTACTGGTTGGTCTTGCTTCTGCAACGGTGTTGCCTCGTTTGCTAATAGCAGTTAAAGAATCCAATCTTGGGATTTGCTTCGAAGCCTTGGCGCTCCATGTCACAGGTTCTTGCGGGATGTTTTCGACCTTCGAAACAATAAGTCAAAACAAAAGCTTAACATGAATCTAATACATGTGGAATGATTAGTGTTTTTAGAAACATGGACCGCAACTCCACAATGAAGTGAACATATTAACATGAATCTAAACATATTACTTAGGACTACGAGATGTTGAAAGATCAAGACTCTATGATAATCAGTTCTCACCCGTGGTTTAAGCGCAGTGGACCTAGCTTTAGGCTGCTTGAGTTTAACCATGGAGCCCTCTTGCGCTTCTTTCTCAGCCAGTGTCTCTGGAGCCGCAAGTAGCCTGAGAAAAAAGATTATCTCAAGATGAAAAATTCAACGAAAAAAGCAACCAGATGAGACATGGAAACTCAGAATTATGTCACGCAGATATGAGTTCTTATAAGCAAGGTAATCTCATTAACAGTGAGAACCACGTTCGAACACTAACGCGACGAGATAACACACAAACATCTCGAAAATTTGCTGGAAGAAAAAGAAGAGGAGCACTAAAAAGAAGTACCACTCGTAATCGGATTTGTTGTTCTCAGAGTCCAAGAACTTTTCAACAGCGCTCTTTCGCAGCTGAACACATCTCGTTGAGCTCTTTGTGAGAGTCTCGTCAACATTGTTTGTTCCTGAGAAAATTCAAAACATCATTCAAAAAATTGACAACACAAATTAGCTAATCTATCAATACTAGTTGCTCCAATCACCATTAACACTAAACGCCGTGGAAGTAAAGCTCTATTGTACTCAAAACTGAATCCAAAAGCACGAAGATACGGAAACTAAAACTAGCTCAGATGTACAATCGTATCAAACAAGCAGAGATTCAGCCTAATTTCCTAGTTTTCTTCTTAGATTTTAGGTTCCAGGAGCTCAGATTGAGAGAAACTGAAATTGAATTTGGAGAAATTGAGATCAATAAACTCACCAGGTTCTGGAAGAGAAGAAAGGCCTTGAACCTTCTCGCGCCTTCGCATCTCCAGGAATAGAGATAGTTCTTCATCTCCATCTCGAGCCACTACATTCTCCATTTTCAGAAACCTCTTCTTTACACTCAGAACTAGATCACTTTTAGCTGATTATTACTGACGATCGTAGCACCGAAAACAACGAACAGAAAGTTAACAATGGAAGCCACACACACACACACACACACAAACAAAAAAATGCAGAAGATGAAGAAGGATTATTAATGGCGAAATCAGTGTTGGAGAAGGAGAACACAGATTAATTCAGTCGCCATATATTCACGAAACTGCCACTTTTCTATTTGTCAGGAGCTGGAGCGTTTGATGTGGGGTATAGTTGTAATTGACGTAGGGCCCATTGACTGAATTAAAATCTGGAGCGTTGGATGCACAACGGCGCTAACTGATCGGACGGTTGATATTTGAATGGACAGACCAATGAAGCAGCCTCGGATTTCGTGTGATTCAAACTCCTCAGGATTTGTTTTGACAGATACATCAAAGCGGCCCAATAGCTAATTAACTAGGCTTATAACCCATAAAAGCCCCGAAGGTTTCATATTGACCGACCGGTTAAGAGAAATTACATATTCCTTCTACTGTCCCCATATCAACACATTCTCAGTGAATAATAATACACATGTCTAATTGGTTGATCAGTAGAGAGAAATGTTATATGTTATAATTCATTATATTCATAACATCATGAGTAAATCATAGAAAATAAAAACTCGAGTTTCTCTTTGGACTATATTCAAATACTAATATCAGTGATATATCACTGTCTACTGCCATTTTGGATAATGTGGCATTTATGAAAGAGCTGAAATGAATTAATGTTTAACAGATGATAGATTCAACCACAAGAAATATTCTTCCGTGCTGACGTAGCTACCACGGAATCTGTTAATATGTTGGAGGTTAATCTACCCAACGCTCACTACAACTTTTCTATTCATCACCACTGGCAATGACCTTCACCAGATTGGACAAAATGCAATTACAATGCATCTTTCTATGCTGAGGCTAGCAAATCAGGTTTTGGCTGGATTTTTCGCAATTCTACAGGCACTTTTCTCAAAGGAGGAATGAAACAATATTAAAAACGTTTTACGATCGAAGAGGTCGAACTTACTGCTTTAATATAGACAATGCAAGCTGTTTAAAGTTTTGGTTTCACACACGTCGTCTTTGAAGGAGACAACATAAATATCACTCGTCTACTTAACAATGAAGGAAGTAACCTCAAGCTACGGTCACTATCTTAATACTATTAGAGGGTGGACATCTATGTTCTCCAACACTAAATTCACTTACAAAAATAGGAAAGCCAACCGATATGCCAAAACGGGTACATGTTCACCAAATTCATAGTGTTTATATCAAACTTGTCTGTCATTTCTTTATTCTTTTGTAAACAATGATTGTATCCATAATTATTACTAAAATACCTTTTAGACGAAAAAAAAGAAAAAAAAAACTTAAAATGAAAAAGGAGATAGAATATTTGGCATAAAACATTCATAGATATATAGTTTATCGAAAATCCACACATGGACATTATAAATACTTCTCAAGCTTATCTTCATCAAAACCCCCAAGATAGGAAAATGCTGAAGTAATCATCGAATCTTAGAAATCTCTCTGACAAGTTTTTTTTTTAAATATTTGAAAATGAATCAAGAAATTGAGCATTTTTCCCCCTTTTCCCGGTTTGAGAATTTTGTTTCAGCACATCGGTACTTGTCTAAATTTAAGATGAGAGAACTCCTTTGCCGATTGCATTGACAGCAGTGTTCATCAATTGATGTCCCAAGTGAATAGCATTTGGTTGTTCTGAAATATTACAATCAGAATTTTGTGTTATTCAATTATTATTGTCAATCTAAAAACTAACATGTATATAATATATAGAAATATGGTATTTAACTCACTCTGAGGAAGTTTGTCGACGAAGAAACATATGGCAATGATAACATAGCAAAGCAAGAGAACGAGTCCTTTCATGTAGTGAGAAGTCCCATCCTAAAGAAAAACAAGAACAAAAAAAACACACAATATTTAATCATTGAAACTTGAATGTTTAAGTCATCATCCATTTGTTTATATAATGGACTAATAATTTTTGCAAGGTGTTGAAAAATGTGTAACCTGTAATGTGAAGGCTGTGATGATGATGGAAAGAGCAAGAGAACCGGTTTCAAGGAGATTGAAATTGAGATCCATCTTAATTCCTATAATCCATGCCACGATAATGGTCAAGGGAACAACGAATAAGCCAATCTGAGTAGCAGAGCCTAATGCAACTCCCAAAGATATGTCCTGAAAATTATTTGCATTGACATGAGTTTCATGCATTAATCATTTTAATCCAATTTTTTTTTTGAATAAAAAGAGATCTCAGATGCGAAAATGGAACTCACGAGCTTGTTCTTGAAAGCGAAAATGATGGCTCCAGCGTGTTCAGCTGCGTTTCCAACAATAGGAAGCAATATGATACTTATGAAGCTCACTGATAAGCCCCATGATTCCGATGCGGTCTAATCAAATATAAACGCCACAATTAATTTTATTGGTATATGATCATAAAGATTCCACAAAAAAACTTTAGGGTTTAACGTTAAAAGTCTCCTATCGGAAGTATAACAAGTAATATTACTAATACATATAAATAAATTTCAATTCATTGATTTTGAGTTGAAAATGCATAAAGCTTAAAACAAATGAACATAACAAAGTTTACCTCAATTGTGGCCACAACATACTCAGATAGCAATGCGATGACAAGTGTCATCCCAACCAACCAAGCAAATCCGCTCCAAAACCCAATCACTGCGGTTTCTTCCTCAGCGACATTGTCATCATACTCGTCTTCCTATAAAAAAAATTAGTTTTAAATATCCGTTACAACACGAACATATAGATTTCTTCTCTTTTTTGTGTATAATATATATATAAATATTCACCTGATCTTGTGCGTCGAACAGTTGGCGGTGAGTCCAAAGCTGGAAAACGAGATATGCGATGTAACTGATCAACATAACAATACTGCTGGCTCGAGACAGATTCAGTGACATGTCGGCAACTACATCAGGCGAAGTCTCTCCGATTGCCACGTATCCGAACAACATTGGCAGCAAGTGACACAACAATCCCATTAGGAGTAAGAAGAAGTTCACATCGGCTTGTTTCTGGAACAATGAAACACCACAAGATTTATCACGGTTAAGACTAACCGTACCAAACCTATTGTATTCCCGGTTCACTTATCTTTAAATTCAAGCAAATTACTATGGGTTTTCGTTATAATAAGAATACAAAAGGAGACTATACCCGGTCGAACCGCTGCTCCCGTCGTATATTTGCGATTCCGCCGCAAAAGAGTGAAGTTCCGAGAACCAACAGAAGGTTCGACAAAATCGAACCTAGCAGCGAGTATTTCACCACTGCAACCTTGTTATTGGTTAATGCCAGGATCGCGATTATCAATTCAGTTGCGTTTCCGCACGTTGCGTTCAGTAGACCACCCACTGCGGTTCAAAAACACACAAAAAGAGTCAAGTTTCTCTACTGACAAAATAATAAATGTTATGTATATTGGAATTGGAGATAAAAACAAAAGGTTGGTAAAAGAAGGCGTTACATGTCGGACCGGTGAAGAAAGCTAGTTGCCTGCATGAGATGCACGAGAGATGTTATTAAAAAGCGACCACATATTATAAAATAATAATTATAAATCACGAAGAGAGACATATTTATATCATATATGGTTCTAGATGCTACTATGTACTTGAATGTAAGGAGGATAACGTTTGTACTATGCTGTCACGTTGACACATGAGTGGGCAATAATTTTGTGCGGTCGGGTGATTACCCAATCATGCAATGACGAATCCCAAAAGAATATTGGTCCATTTATTTCAAAAAGCAAATGAGTAAACGAAAGAATATTGTGGTGGATTCGGACCTAACTAAAATGTGATGTTCTGTAACTCGTCATATTCACATGTACAGACAAAATAGCAAACGGGACAAACTTAATGTATTGACACTAATCATGGAGATATGAGATATTGCATTGGACCGGGTGCTTAGAAGGATTTTTTTTTTTAAAAGAGACATAAAATACTGATAAAACATGATATTTTTTATCCAAAGATGGAAGAGATACGTTACATTCAGAGACAGTTGGCTAAATCTTGTCGTGATCGAAAAGAAAATGTCCTAAGGTGAAGAATTCAAATAAAATAAAACGTATATGGATAGAATAAGATTTTGATGAGGATGAAACCGAATACTTACTCTGTCAGAAAGCTGACTCGCTCAGCTAAAGGTGTGAGTCCTATCAAGCTCAGTCCAAATATCCACGGCTGTAATATTCACCATTTAACTTTATATTAAGTATATAAGTATATAATATACACATATGGTGGTTAATTAATTCATATAAATTACACTTCCAGTATACCAAATATAATTGATTTCAAAACGTTTGTGATTGCAAATCTAATCAAATATTTTAAGTCGATACCTCTCCCTAAGTTAGTGGTGGGTAATAATAATGCCAAAATCTCTTAACATTAATAATTAGTTGATTTTTATATATAAAATAATCTAGTACTATTTTTTGGGCAATATTTTGAATACTTAATTTTCTTCTTACGAGAATAACTCTAATGGATAATCAACAATAATGAAACAGAGGGAAGTATATACACAAATCATTATACCTGACTGAAACCATAGTATGTGGCGATAATGGCGGCAGGTATGGCGGGAAAAAGAATGGCAAGCTTTGTGCCGAGAACGACTTCTTGGAGATTGGAAAGAAAATCTTTAAGACCTTTGTAAGGAACCTTCTGGATCACTCGAAGGTCTGATTTCTTCCTCAGCGAAGAAGAAGACATGTTGTGAGCTGTCCTTCCATGTCTCAGGTCTCTGCTCGACCCTTTCGCCGACACGTTTGCGTTTCCGTTCTCCGCCGCTGACCAGTGTTCCGGCACGATCCCCGCCATTTTCTCACACTGACTCACAATTTGTATTCGGTTGATGTTATAGTGTTTTTTGCTTTGCTGATGTCTTATGTTGTGTCTGTAAAGAATGGCGTCAGAGATGATTATATACTGATTAGTTTTATAATGTGGGGACCACACGAGGCAGCTTCCACGAAGTTTCGCTTTGAATTATTTATCATTTAATTTCAAAGATTTTATGCGTTTTTTAAGTTGGTAACAAAATCAGAAATGGTAGATATAGATACGTGCAGTAGAAAGTTGTAACACATGGCTATCAAATCTGGAATTCTGGGAATTACCACTTTAGGGACTTAAGTCTAGCTTTGGCCAATCTTATTTTAGTAGAGTAGCAGTAGAAAGTTGTAACACGTGCAGTAGAAAGTTGTAAAACCGTGTGGTATTAAATTTGTTTTTATCTTTCTCTAAGCAAGAGATATGTTCAAAATTAACATTTGATTTTCACACTGAATGACATTTTGAAAAGGAACGTACTATTCTATAAACATATGATCAAATGACTAAAAAAATCACTAGGTGTCTCAAGACTAACATATATGTAGTTTAAGCATATTTCTTAACGTAATATATGCTTTTTACTAAGTAAAAAGTTTTATTGTTGGACTAAGAAAACATACAAAAGAATCTCTCCCTTAAAATTATATAATTTATATGACTGTCTTTCTAAGTTCGTTCATCTCATAAACCAACACTATTTTTTTTTTTTTTTTGTAGATTTAATGAAACTGCAATTTTTGTTTACAGCCTTTAAATTATTTTTACATCTGCGCAAAACACTGTGTCCATCATCTACTATAATATAGTACGGGAATGTATGAGAACCACTTAAACCCTTTTAACTCTGCTACTTCTCGAGTAGGAGTGTTAGACTAGAATCTTCTCATAGTGGGGATAATGCGAGAGATAATGAATGGCTCTAATAAAAATCATAATAGCATTGACAAAGTTTAGTTGATTTGATACACAATTTTTTTTGTTTCGCGAAGCATCTTCCTTTCATATTTATTTTAAAAGTTATTTATACAAACAAACGTCTTACTTCATGGATTGGTGAGACATGAAGGGATGGGTATTGTATTGATTGGAGTACGAGTATAGAATGTGGGGGATCCTTGGAAGGATTCAAACCAGATATAGATGGAAGTTTTGTCTGCTATGACATGACATAACACGAATTACATAGAATTAATACTGATTTTTGAAGGGTTATCATACAAAATAAAATATTTTTAATCGAATTAATATTTTTTTTATATTTCAAGGAATCTGAAATTTATAGAAAGGTCAAACTAATCTTTGAGAAAGGTGTAGTCTTTCTCTTCGAATATTTAAATGATCAAAAACAAGAATTTATATCCGTGTGGTTAAATAAAAAAAATTGAGTTAAGGTTTTACTTTTTTTTTTTAACTTGGAATATTTACTCTAACCCGGCCGGTTCTGTTATCAACCCCACGTTCGGTATGACACGTGTTTCGGAAGTGTTCTTTGGAGGAATCCTAAGAGCTTAATTTGTGTCGTGTAGTACGAAAACGAAGCTACTGATTTTGCCGTGTGCCCTTTTTGCTTAACGAGGAGGTAGCCTGATAAAAGATAGGAAGTGGCTGTTGCCTCTTGTCTTGTTAAGGTTAAATTTTAGCTGATGTTATTTCATTTTTCATTTTTGAACAAGTATTATTAATATCTGACCTCAGAATTTGATGTGGACAAATAAAATTGAGATATGTGGCTCATTTAGGCTCAATAAGAAAAGTCATTTGAAACCATCGAAAAAACTAGAAGAATAATTCGATGCTTCGAAAGAACCATCGAAGATATTAAAGAGAGACGTGCAACAAGTAAAACCATATTGAGTATATGATATTAATCTGCCGGCACCAAACCAATTCACACAAAAAATTTAAATCTATATAAAAAAAGAGTATATTCTCCAAGTGCACAATATTGTCTGGACTGTTTCACAACATTTCTATATCTTAAGAGAACCTTACACTACAAGAAAATAGGTCTGTTTTTTACCAAATTTCTGACCAAATGTTTAATAAATAATAAATGTGATGACTTATTGATCAAATTTTGACCACTATATGAATTTGATCAAAAAATGATCGATAATTTTTGTTGAAGATAATCATCAAAATTTGGACGAAAGTACCATATTCTAAGCAAAGTAATTAGAACTAGAGAAAATACTAATTATTGAAAGTCCATCAAGCTCCAACACATATTGAATGACTTTGCTACCTCACCGACCATCCAATTCATACCGGCCTCCTATAAAATGGGAATTTGAAGAGAATATAAGATTTAAAAAAATCGACCAAAAAAGGAAAAAGAGACCAACTGGAAAAAATCTCTACAAGAATGACGAGTGATGATGAACTTATAAACTAGCTGTCACGTAAATTAATAACTTTTCAACAAAAGATTCTAAAATGATTTCATATACGTATATAATATCCTCATCAGTTGTACATTTGTCAAATTCTTTTTTGAGTCTTGGAGTATATTATAGCGCCACTAGTCCGAGTGATTTAAAGTTTCATTATAAAACGTCACATATGTTTTATTTATATGTAATCCTCGTCCATTGATAACGATTGAGTCTGAGAATCTAAATTGATCAAAATATCAAATATATATTGAAGTTAATATGGTCCCAAAACCATAGTTAAACACTTAACCGTATACTGCCGAACCATAGAGAATTAGGGAACCCAAGTGGGTAAATAAAGACACCAAACACAGCTGAAAGACGCATTTGTCCTGTCCGAACACACCACAGCATAATTATTTCTGGAAAAGCCCCACAAATCTTTGTGGATACACTGATTTCTTGTTTGAGTTCATCAACATATACGTATGGGCAACGATGGACGAAAGGCGTTGGGGTCACAATGATGAAACAGTCCAAAAAACATAAGTGTATTGACGTTAAAAGGAAACTTCCCGGAAGCTGCCTTGTTGAGGATACGTCTATGCACTTCTCACTTGCATGTGGAAGTTGTTGTTATCGAAACCCTTCTTTTGATGGCAAAATTATGAATTTTTTTTGTCTGTGTTATAATTTTTTTTTAAAAAAAATTAAACGGAATCAAAACGCCTACATCTTCTTTGTTTCTTCTTCCAATTTTGCATGTTAGGGCATTTATATACTAGCGTGGGTACAGACCATTTGACGAGTGGGTCCTTTAATGCGTACGGAACAGGAGACTTTATATTAATACTAGTACTTAAACATCATATCTTCTTAGAAGGAATCATAATCATACCTTCTTTACAATAATAAAGAAAATTCATATATAGCTTCTCGATTCTAACGAAGGAATCCTAATCATAAATGACCATTCAAACCTGCGCATATAACGGCTATGAAATCAATAATTGTTTATCCTCCACAACTCATAGGACCACTACCGGATTCTCGGGTTATTATATTATTACAAACTAGTGTATTAGATTACAAACGGTTACTATCTAACAAATTGTAAACCATTAAAAAAGTTAGTAGTATTCATCGTATATGAAAATTACGGTGGGAACATGTATTCGGGTTGTTGTACCTGAAACAGAGCCAAACTAATAGTATTAAACTTTATATATATATATATATATAGTTTATTAAACATCATGAAATATTTTGCATAATTGTGCTCACAATTTAATAAATATCTCTCGTTCGCAGCTTTTGGATAGTTTTTTAAGATCCCACTCGTTCTCTTTACGCACCAGCCGATAATTTTGATGTGATTAAGAGTTTATTTTTTATTCATTTGAGATGTTAATTTCTCGAAATATTGTGATGTTTTTATTTTATGACTGAGAAAATTTACTTTATTATCAAGATATGAAATTTTTTTGAAAATGTAATAAATGGTTGTTATTTCTTCACTTTAAAGTTCCCACATCTATATAAATAGTATTCTAAGGATAAACTGATAAAGACGGCACAACCCACAACAAACACAGGCCATCTAAATACATATGCGTTTGGTCATCCGTATACATTTTGGGTAGTACGATAATGCAAAATTCTATGAATCTCGAGAATTCATTTGAGTTTTGGTTTAGGTCCTTTAGAATGACTCTGATTATATAATAAAAAAATACATATTGCATAAAAAAGATAGTTTGTTATTTTGAAAAGTTTTTTTGATAGCCTGAAATGAAGCTTCGGTCTTGAAGAAAAATGATCGTTATGTTTTTGGGAAATTCACCACGTACGTCACAAAACCTTGCAAAAATAATAAAGTGATGCGGAAAATCAAGCTGAATAATTGTGTAAAACTGAAGTCTTGATTGCAAATGCGTTCTACTTACCGCACCTGAAACTCCCCAAAAGATTTCTCAAACTCAATGATGTTGATCGATGGTCATACTCGATATCACATCCGGGTCTCGTGATTTTGATTTATCATAAGAATAAAGATTTTATTTTATCCCTATTTTTTTTTTGGTTATAACTAATAAACCGAGTGAACCGGTTGAACCACATTGGTCCAGGAAGCATTTGGAATAGCCCGGAAACGCACTATAAGCAAGCACACTAAAAACGCAATTTTTAAAAAGCCAAATATAGAAAACGCGGAGAATACGTTCGGCTTGTAAATTGCGTTTTACGAAAAATGACGTTTACCCGAGGATTGCTTTGGTGCTTATCCAAATCAAACCCCAAACTCCCCAACAAACCGGTAAGACTTGAAAACCGGCTGGCGTAATCTCCAAAGTTTCTTTTTTTTTTTCCTTTGGGTCTTTCTACAAAAAGAAAAATCTGTTGAAGTATATATTTTATTTGTTTTCGTTAAGGAATATTTAGGAATTTTGGTCGATGTGTTGGCTATTTCAGTGGTGGGGATCTAATCACAATGCATGCGCTACTTAATTAATTAATCAATCAACTGTGTTACTTTTTTTTAAAAAAAAAAAAACTGAGCATCGAAGTACAGACGAAGCAAAAGTTGTCTCCGGCGAGAGAAGATCCATCGGAAGAAGATCTTCGGCCATGGTTGGACCAGGAAGACCTCAAATCGTGCTTTTCGGCTCTTCGATTGTTCAATACAGCTTCACCGATGGCGGATGGGGAGCCTCACTCGCTGACATCTACTCTCGCACGGTTCTGTGATTCTTCTTCCTCCCTTCGATTTCCGATTTCCAAATTTCTAATTTTCCAATTGAAACCAATGCTGATTGTTAGTGTTTAATCCTGCGATGAACCACTGATATGTACTGCAAATTGCCATTTCACTGCTCGCAAGTGGAGAACTTTCACTTAATTTGTCAACAAACCTAATGATTGATCCAAAACTTTTAACTCATAAAATTTCATTTTTTTTTGTCTGTGTGTGTATTGATGCATATCACAGGCAGACATAATCCTTCGTGGATATGCTGGTTGGAATTCCAGATTTGCCGTGAAGGTTCTTGACCAAGTGTTCCCAAAGGTAAGTAACACTCTGTTTTCGACTAGTGTGTTAAATTGAGGAAACATACGAATTTGTATAGTGAAACTGACACTCTAATGCAATGTGTGTATGGTGTTTGAGTGAGATCTCACAAAGTTTTTTGCAAAAGAAGTACCTTTTTCTTGACGAACTGATTTTTTTCTTCTTCTTCTTCTTCTTATATTAGAATGCTGTGATACAACCTTCTTTGGTGATAGTCTATTTCGGTGGGAATGATTCAACGCATCCTCATTCATCAGGCCAGGGACCTCATGTTCCTCTCTCTGAATTCACCGATAACATGAGGAGAATCGGCGAGCATCTTTTGGTAAAAAGTTTGAGACTTTGTTCTTTTTTTCCTTCAAAGGTTTGTATTTGCTAAACTCATTCATGGTATCTTCTTCTTTTTCCTCTTTCGTAACAGAGCCTTTCGGACAAGACCCGTGTCATTTTCCTCACTCCGCCGCCAATGAATGAGAGACAAATCCAACTAATTTTTGGGTACGTGTCTTCGATGAGAACCGGTTGGTTATTTATTTTTTGGAAGTTTGATTCAATATCACTTGTGTTACAGAGATGCAATGAGAGGACGGAGGAACGAGCTGTGCCGTCCGTATGCAGAAGCGTTGCTAAACCTATGCAGAGAGATCAATGTGAAATGCATCGATCTTTGGACTGCAATACAGCAGCACGATGATTGGTTAAACACCTGCTTCACGTGAGAGCTTTATTGATGATACATTACTTCAAAAACGATTTCTCCATCAAAACTAACTTCTTGGGGTTTTTGTTCATAGAGATGGGGTCCATTTCACGGCGAAGGCAAGCGAGATTGTGGTGAAGGAGATATTGAGAGTTGTGAGAGAAGCGGATTGGAAACCGAGTCTTCACTGGAAGTCATTACCGGTTGAGTTTCCATTTGATTTTGGTGTACCGAACTCACTAAGCCTTTGTGAGCTTGAGTTAACCAGAAACGAGCAGCTGGAGCCAACACCATCTAGTACGGCTCGATTGTAAAACAAAAAAAACACAACTCGTATTTAGATGTAATCAGGCTTCTTACATTTGACAATTTGCATCTGGACAATGATGTTGCTAATTTAAAATGTTGGCGTTTAGGGTAATGGAGATTTCGAGTTTTGTCTCTCAGAGTGCGTAAACACGATTATCTGTTTTCAGTTGCTCCTTGCAGGTTCTGTAACATGATGGTGGTCACTTAGCCATGCTTTATAAATCGATCTTAAGACTATCATGCAAGTTCATAAATGTGCGTGTTGTTGTACTTTTGGTTTCACATGTCAATTTCACAAAGAGATCGTTATCACGGAAAAACAAGTAAGTCGTGGACTTTGAGGTTTTTGAATTAAAATCCAGGAAACCATAATTAGACTAATAATTTTTTTAGATACTAGAAAATGGAAAATGTCCTAATCAGTATTTCGATAGATTTAAACAAAAAGAAAATGACTAAACACACATCTAGATAACGAGTAGATACAACATGTTACTTCTACAACAATCAACAATTCAGGCTAAATCAAATACCATAATTCAAAAATCAAAAATGAAATCCGATGTAATAACCCAAAATCAGCTAAGAAAAGTAATTGAAGAGTTTGTAGGAGGAGAGGGATTTTTTAAAAAAAAATTATTGAGCCGGATTTCGAGAGGTATACTGAGATAATTTCTGTGAGATTAAGTCGTGGGAATTAAAACATCGATCTAACTAAGTAAAAATGTAAATATTTAAAGATGAAAAGTTATTAACAAAGTTTACCCTAACTCTTTTTCTGTAGAAAATGCTGATCTTTCTTGGAAGAACTCTTTCGTTTATACTTTATCAAGAATATCTGACCTAACTATTTTTTTTTATTTGAAGATAAAAAATCTTTTTTTTTCAGCCATTCATATTTATCTCAAATATTTTTCTGTTAACTACGCTGACCTAATTTAAAAGTAAATTATGATTTTTCTACCTTTAAATAGATCGATCTCAATTAATATTAGACAGTTATAAAGGATACTAAATCCGCCTGTAGCATCCAATAAAACGAACAAAACAAAGATCAATGAATCAAACACCAGCAATCATAAATTTGAAACTAAATCCGACAAAATTAACAAAAAAACAAAATTTATAAGTAAAAAATAATTAAACAATTTAAAAAAATCACCAAATAAATTAAAAGAAACTACCAAATTTACGATAATAAAAAAAAAATATATATATATATATATATATATCACCATATCTACAAATCTGAGTCATTCAGAATCATTCAGATTCAAACAACAGTTCAATAAATTATATTGTAATTAGAATTTAACGTAAATTTATAAATTTTTAGATTATCGAATTAAAAAGAACGAAAAGGAAGGAAAACTCTAAAAATATTTAATTAAGAAAATGGAAAAAAACTAGTGATAACTTATGCACCAATTGTTTTTAAATGTCTTCCTGAACACAATATTAAAAAAGGTTTTACTTCAGTATTTGCTAAAAAATACAATTTATTATATTTTTTTATTATGCTAAAAGAAATTACAAAATAAATAAAATATTTTTTAAACATTAATCTGTAAAACTATTTTAACAAAAATCGATTAAAATTTGTTCAAACAATTCTAATCAATATATTGTATAAAAAAATTAAACATAAAGATAAACCATACATTTTGAACACAAACATGAAAATAAATACGATACCTTATCTTTTACAATAACGTTTTAAAAATATTTATTTTCTTATTCTCTAAAATAAATATTTTTTATGCTGTTAAAAACATATTTCTTTTTATGCTGTAAAAAAGATTCTTTTTATTTTTTGACAGTAAATATTTTTTTTTATGCTGTAAAAAAATTCTTTTATTTTTTGACAGTAAATATTTCTTTTTATGCTGTAAAAAATATTTCTTTTTATTTTGTAAAAAAACATATCTTTTATGCTGTAAAATATATTCTTTCTATGCTGTAAAATATTTCCTTTTATTATTTGTTGACAGCCAATATGTCCATTTATTTTGTTGACAGCATATATATCTTGTTATCAAGCCTTTTAGCAACAAAAAAAAACAGCAAACATTTCTTTTTAATTTTTTGACAGCAAAAATTTCCTATGAAAATGCATGCACATAGTTTTATACTTAAAAAATTCTTAAGTAAAGATGTATATGCAAATAGATTTTAATAAAGATAAACCATACATTTTGAACACAAACATGCAAATAAATTCAACACCTTATCTTTGGCCATAATGTATTAAAAAAAATTGTTGACAGCAATTATTTATTATTTAAATAGACATATTAAATAAAACAAGGAAGCACATACTTTTAATACTTTGAATAGAAATGCATGCAAACAAATTTCTTAAATAAAGATGTACATGCAAATAGATTCAGTGTATCTAGCCATTATTTTCAACAATTAAGTTTTTCCAAATATTTATATGAATTACCTTTTTTTGTGGTCAAATATGTAATATTTTTTTCTTTTGAAAACAATTTTTTTTTTGTGTGTAAAACAACCAATTAAACTTATAAAAAGTGAATCTTAAAACCATCAAACGGTTTTGGCCAAAGGATAATTTTGGTATTTTAGTGAAAATAAACTGTCAAAAATTACAAAACGACATATCATTTTTTAAAAAGATATAAGAAAAAAACATAACGATGACGCGACAACAAATCACATGAACAATAAATAATTCAATAAAATTATACAAATACCCTCAAAAGAAGTCCAACAATACATAACTTTTGACTCCCGTCGTTTATATTCTACCGTTCAACGACGGGGAGAAAAGGCGAAGACTCGCCGGTATACCACTTTCAAATTGTAACCGTCACATTAATTGCCTTGCCTTTTCTTCATGGGTTCACTACCTCACAGATTCTCAGGTTTTTCTCGTTTTATATATATCTAGGGTTTGTCAATCTCACAACACACCTTGACTCATTTCGTCCTCTCATTTTCTCCTCGTTGATTCTCTCTCTCTCTCTCTCTCTAGAATGCCGAACATGGATTCACCTCGTCTCACTTATGCACCGGCGGGATTTTCCATGGGCTCACCGAATCCATCTTCTTCGTTGACGTCTGATTCTGAAGAAGATGATGTTAGCCATGGAACTGTTCGCCGGTTCAACAATCGGTCTTCTGGGAATTTCAATCGGGCCGGTTTTCCCGCGCGGTTGGACACTTCGGCCCTTGCCGAACTGAACATTTCCTTCTTCGCTATGGTTCTTGTGATGTGGTTCCTTGGTTTGTTTCCCAACTTCGATTTTCAAAATTAACGATTTTCGATTTGGTCTGCGTTGAGTGAAAAAGCCTTTAACTTTGTGTTTTGTTTTGTTTGGATCAGTGGCCACAATGATGATTATGGGTTATTACCGACCACATCATGTCTTGATGGGACCAAGCTCTTCCCTTCTTATGGAACCAAGCCCCATCTTTGTCCAAAGCGTAAAGGTTGTTGCTTGGCTTGTTTCTCTTCCTTTTAAGTGTTTTCTCTATCCGAGAGAATGTGCTAATTTACTCAAAATGGTGTTTTTTTTTGTTGTTGTTAGGTGAAAGATTTAGATGATTCGAAATCTGGACTTGAGCTTTTTGGGTTCTACAAAACTCCCTCTCTTGATGCTGTGGTGAATTGGTCAGAATCCAGATCGGTATCTGTCCCGCATAGATCTTTCAAGGTATAGGTTTAAGATTCTCAGGACTCTTGTCGTTTAATGTATATATATATCGGTTGTGCCTTTTTTGAAACCTTCATTGTATGTAGATCTCATTAAATGTCAGACAATTTATTGAACTGAAATTCAATTTTCCTCAGGCATGGCCATTCTATCTGAACGAAGGAGCTTCGTTAAATATCTCATATACCGTTAAACCGGAAGACCGCCCAGTTCGGCTTGTGGTCAAGCAAGGTTGATTAAGATTCTCTTGTGTTACCCTTTCTCTTTTGTTTTTTTTTTGGTTGGTGTTGATGTTTGTGTAGTCTTTTTTCTATGGTAGCTTGCTGGTTTTGATGTTGTTACTTTGTTAGTATGGCTTGATAGAGTAGAAATATCATGAATTATAAAGAAATACCAAAAGATCAAGAACACGAAACCAATAGATCCCTAAAACGTAAAGCAAAACCTAGCTAATAAAATAAGGAAATGGAGGAGATAGAAGTCTTGATGTGTGAGTGAGGTTTTTTGTTTGAAAGTGTTTTCCTTTTAGGGATATGTACTGATTATTTCAAAGCTTTCACTTTTATAGGGAAGGCCTCTGAATCATTGTTACAGGAACCAGTGTATGACACTGCTCTCTCATGGAATGTGGTTCGAGGTTAGTCGAAATGAGAGTTCCAACTTTAATGCATTGGTTTACACTGGTTAATCAGGAGTTTGATAAAAAAAAAGTGTTTTACAGGTAGTGGTAAGGTTGAAGTGAAGATAAGTTCTTCTTCAAGTTATTATGTCGCTGTGGCTAACTCGAAGCTGAAGGACATAGAGGTACTAAAAATTTAACTGATCGAGTAATATGACTTTGAATTTAAGTGATTGTTTATGTTGTGCTTCTGCTCCGCTCACTGTATTTACTTGACATGACATTTTTGTGTTAGGTGGAACTGGATATCGCTGTACGGGCTGTCTTGTATGATTCTAAAGATCCGTTCTACAAGTGTACCTTCAGCAACGGCGAGTGCACATTCGATGCAATGTCTCTTTCTGGAACTTCTATTGTCTTAACTTCACCAGTACCGAAACAGGTATGTATTCTCAAAAGAACAACACAATTTTACATTAATTTACTCTCAGCTGAATGCTCATCTTTTTCATTGCCTCTGAGCCTCAGGGAGCACCTGTTGAAGACGGCGAATGGTTTATCCAGTTGTCATATCAACCTCGATGGATGGCTTATGTGATCATCACAGGTAAACTTTGAAATCATTACAAAAACAATTCATATTAACATTGTTTTCTCTTTTGGAATCAGTTAACATTGTAGCATGTTTTGCGTACGCAGGTTTCTTGTGTTGCTTCGCGCTGTTAGTTATACAGTTGATGAATTGGTTATGGCTTAAATTAGAGAGAGCTTTAACCGATAATGATTCACCGAGAAGACCTCTCCTTGCGAACAAAGATGACGATGGTTCAAGCATGGGTTCGTCTAATGAGTCTTTCGTAGATGATGCTGACTTGGAAGACTTAAGCGGCAATGGAGTTGAAGATTGCATAATGTGTTTTGAGGCTAGACGTGACTGCTTCTTCCTCCCGTGTGGCCACTGCGTCACTTGCTATGAGTGCGGAACAATGTAAGCTTCTTGTCCACGAAATGTGTGTATCTCTTGTTATATGCTACTACTTGTCTATATCAAATATCGTAACATTTTGATGGCTAATATGTGTACAGGATAGAAGACGTTACTGGGGTTTGTCCAATGTGTAGAAAGAAGATCAAGAAGGTTAAGCGTATTTATACCGTGTAAAGATGTATCAATGAACTCTTCATGAAAAATATCTGATCTATCATCTCTGAACCATTAATAAATAATAAAATATAATTAAATAAGTGACCATGGCTCAAGTTCTTTCTCTGCAGTATCATTTCGTCTCTTTTGATTCATCTTTGTGATAACACTATTGTTGAACCACACCATAGGCACACAAGTACAGTTTAATCACATACTTCTCTTCAATGCACAAATCTCTTTAACTCTCTTAACACACAACTCTCTTTAATACAGTTCTTATCTTCTTCCTCCTTCTCTCCTTACCTTTACACCGTTTGATCCACGTGTGCGTTCTGAAGATGAGGTGTTACTGACACTTTTTGTATAAAGATGATAAAATACTTGTGCGTTTTCTCCATATGCACAATGTTCAAATGTTATCTGAAGATGAGGTGTTACTGACACTTTTTGTATAAAGATGATAAAATACTTGTGCGTTTTCTCCGTATGCACAATGTCCAAATGTTAATAATATGTGAAGTGTTGAAGAAGAATTTGATGGGAGACAAGGTTATTAGTTCATCAATTATTTTAAGTTAGTTTACAATGTTGAGATTATTATTTCCAGGTTGGTTTTGATTGGAAGAGATGCATGTTTTTGTTTTGAAAAAAAAAACGATTATTATATTCATTTTGAAAACTAATTAAATTAATATTTAATCATATTATCTATTTTAAATAAAAAAAAATATATTTTATAGAATGTTACAACTTTTCTCATTCCCATTCACTCATTTTATTTCTCCAACTACTATTATTCCGTTCATTTTTCTTCCATTTATTTTCAGTTTATAATGGTAACTGAAAAATATTTTATAGAATGTTACAAAACTTACAACTTATATCTCATCCCATTCGTTCATTGTTACAAAACTACAAATATTTTATAGATTCCGTTCAATTTTTCTTCCATTTATTTCCAGTTTATAAATGGTTACAAGTTATATCCTAAAAAAATTTTTGCCACAAAAAAAGAAAGACAGGAAACAAATCCGAATTAGTTTGAGTGGTAATTCAACGAACACGATGATATAGAAATCTGAGCTCCACGTCAGCAATACAATCTCTTTGGGACTATACATTTTCAAGGAAACAAATCTTGTGGTCAAAGTTTCTATAATCCATAGTCCATACATTGTTTCTCATCTCTACATTAGCCACACCATAACTGACGACCTCCTTTTTTTGAAACCGTCCGATGCGATTACTTTGACTTCCTTCTCTCAATCAGATTGCTCAGAAGTAACAAACAAATATTAATTCGCGCCTTCACTCTCCCTTCTCCATAAATAAATCCCCTTTTCTCCTCCACACTCTCTCAAAAACCCTAGAAAATGGCAGAAGGAGCTGGAGTCGTGGCGGTGTACGGCGAAGGATCCATGACGGAGACGAAACAGCAATCTCCGTTTTCCGTCAAGGTCGGTCTCGCTCAGATGCTCCGTGGCGGCGTAATCATGGACGTCGTCAACGCTGATCAGGCGCGAATCGCGGAAGAAGCCGGCGCGTGCGCAGTGATGGCTCTCGAGCGTGTTCCCGCCGATATCAGAGCCCAAGGCGGCGTTGCTAGGATGAGCGATCCGGAGATGATCAAAGAAATCAAAAAGGCGGTTACGATTCCGGTGATGGCCAAGGCTCGAATCGGTCATTTCGTGGAAGCGCAGATCCTTGAGTCAATCGGTGTCGATTACGTCGACGAGAGCGAAGTTCTCACACTCGCCGACGAGGATAATCACATCAACAAGCACAATTTCAAAATCCCTTTCGTCTGTGGTTGCCGGAACCTCGGCGAAGCCTTGCGGCGTATCCGTGAAGGAGCCGCTATGATAAGGACAAAAGGAGAGGCCGGAACGGGAAACGTCGTCGAGGCGGTGAGGCACGTGAGGAGTGTGATGGGAGCCATACGGATGCTGCGAGGCATGGACGACGACGAGGTCTTCACTTTCGCGAAGAAGATCGCTGCGCCGTATGAATTGGTTATGCAGACGAAGCAGCTCGGGAGGTTACCGGTGGTTCAGTTCGCCGCCGGGGGAATTGCGACGCCGGCGGATGCGGCGCTGATGATGCAGCTGGGTTGCGACGGAGTGTTTGTTGGGTCGGGTATTTTCAAGAGCGGAGATCCGGCGAAACGGGCAAAGGCGATTGTGCAGGCGGTTACGAATTACAGAGACGCGGCGGTGCTGGCGGAGGTGAGCTGTGGATTAGGAGAAGCCATGGTTGGTCTCAATTTGGACGATAAGGTCGAGAGGTTCGCTAGCCGCTCTGAGTAACCAATCAAATTTCAGATATTTTTAATTTTATTTAAAAACGTTATTAAAATGTAAGATTGGATTCGCACTCGTGCCCTCAATAAATTTGAGTTTTTTATTTGGTGCTCTTAAATTCAGATATGTTATTTGTCGTTTTGTAAACCTTTCAGTCCCTTGCTATATATAAACCCCAAATTATAGGGAAAAATTAGGGAAAATTTGGTATCTGGAGGAACTAATTATCAAAAATTAGATTAAATTGATACATGTTACATAGGTAAATTATGACCATCTGATATGTTATAATTAGATAATAATTTGATTAGCATGCTAACTAATATGATATCGTAATAACTGTTAAAAACTATGCTAATTAATATAACGTTTAACTAGCAGATTGTACAAATATCGAGTTAACTAGTTATCGTATAATAAAAAATGAAATTATCACGTTAACAATATTATTATATCAAAAAGTTATCGTATTAACTTAGTTAGCATACTAACTATTATGTTATTATTGATATCATTTCATAAAAGTTAGAGTTAACTTTGTTATCTGTATAAATTATTTAAAATTATTTTGATAACTAATTAAATTATAATCATGAATATTATTGCTAACATTATTATTACTGTTATCCACCATCTTCCATCTATCACTACCGTCATCCACCACCACCACCAGCGACCACAACCATTATTGACAACACTATCATCACCATCATTGTTACCGTTACCATCATCACCGGCGACTTTATCACCATTACCACTGATCACCACTAACACCATTCCCGCTATCAACTACCACCGCCACCACCATTAGCGATTCTATCACCATGACCACCGACAACATTATAACCACATTGACCATCGTCAACACTACTATCAACACCACCTCCATCATCGACCATCACCGCCATCGACTCTATCATTATCACTGACCACTACCACTACCACCGATAACCATCACTATTGCCACCACCACCGACAATCACTATCGATATTTTTCTTCTTCCTGTTTTTCTCTTTTAGTTTTAAAAAAATGTTAAAAAAAAATATGTGAAGAAATGAGAGAAAATAAAGAACGGTAAAGAAAATAATTAGATGTAAGGACTATATCGACCTTTTATTTACAACAGTAGTATCAAAAAGTTGTCAAAAACTGTCGTTTAATTCTTTTATTATTTGAGATCATTCCTTATAATTTCTCGAAAAATTATTAGTATTGTTTTTGTTTAAATCACAGTTGCAAGTTGCACAGCATAATAATAATAATACATCAGAGATAAAGAAAGTAGAATCATCGGTCTACAAATAGAAAGCTTTGATTAGTATTTGCGTAATGTCAACTAATTTTAAGGAAAAAGTTAGGAAGGCGAAGCACCATTAATATTAAACCAAACCACACATTTAGAAACTAGTATTGCAGCATCAGTAATCACAGCAGTTTTTGTATCATTATAAGACTTCACCCAAAATCATCAACTAAACCAATTTCATATACCTTTTCCATTTTCGTTGAAATGTAAATATTATTCAACAGAAAACTTCTGTACAATCAAATGCATCGTATTTAAATGTTTTTACTTGAAGTTAAACTTGAACCTGAACTAGTGAATGAGTATAACGGCATTATATACTTTTTTAATGATATAATTATGAATAAACACAACAGGCTGAATAAACTAGTCAAAGGTAAACATGATCATCTGATTTGATACCAATTATTAGTATTTTTTTTCTTTCTTCCCTTAGTGTACGTTTTACATATTATATAGGTAAGACTATATATATACAAAAGAGTAACTGATTATACTTGGGATGTTTTTTTTTTTTCATCAAAAACATCATGTATTCAATTAAAAGTTTCAAAAAGACTTGGCTCGGGAGCCAGCTATTTCGGGAAAAGAAAGTTTACATGAAAAAATTGTAACCACGTGCTTAAACACTCTTAACAAGATAGTCTATACGGATTTTCAATAAACGCGGAATGAAAGTAATGGAAAATTTATGAAAACCGGTCTTAAGATACTCCAATTCTTCTAATCAATTATAATATGCTTGCTAACAGTGAATTGACCTGATTTTTCCCACTATAGTTTTTTTATAATGTCTCATTTAGTTCTTATTTCTTTCTCTATCAAATTCCATTCACTTTTCTTTCAACCAAATTTTACTGTAAACAAAACAAATGTCAAGACAAAATTTTGTTCATGCTGAAAATATTCGCCAGGTCCATATTCTATTTCCATAATACTTATTTTGATACCACCTTAGCAAGTGTGACTCCTTCGTTTACTCACTACTGATTCTGAACTTTACGCTTTGACCACATGCCTCTCAGTTACTTAACAATTTGGGTATGAAGAGAATGAAGAGGCAAGTGAAATGCATTTATTTTTGATGTACGTGCCTATCTTTGTAACTTTTCTTTCAGTGGCAATGGGAATGTTGCTGATTGTATTTACCTGTCTACATTTATTTTTAGGGAGTGAGTGACCCATTTTGATGAAATTTTAGAAGAAGCTAATGGCCTTATTGTTTCTCGTGGGAATTCGAGTATCGATCTACCTTAAAAAGGTATGATTTGATCAAAGGCTTACACACTTTCTAAACATATGGATCGGTGTCTTTTTAGTGGTATATCAGCCTAAGCAATAGATGCTTTAGATTAAGCATTTTAGATACCTTTTTATCTTTTTTAAAGAAATTAAACTAAATTACAAG